ATGACCTTTATGGACAAGAGCTAGTAAACAAAATTTCAAATGAGAAGGAAGGAGGGTGCATAGGCCAAAGAGGAGATGGGAGAGATTTTTCTTAATTTGTCAAATAATGTGTCACAACTTTACTCTTCATCCCCCAAAGCACTAATGGTGCATGCGTGAGTGTGTTTATAAAACATATATCCTGCCTACTTCCAAAGCCATTTTACAAATAAATACAGAATGAGGACCCTCAGACCAGAGCAGAAACTGTAGCTGACTCCTAGCAAATTGGAAGAGGCCCTTTACAACACCTCAGGAAGACCTTTGATTTTAGTTTTTTAGCAGCAGAGGGCAAAAGGAAAATACAGGGCCACGCGGTTTTGCTATCAACACCAAAGAGCACCCAAACTCACCTACCAAAACAAAACCTTTGCTGGTGGAGCAAGTCCCAGAGGTGGTTTCACACTCCAACACCCCTCGCAGCCCACCACTGTACCTCCACGTTCCGAGCAGACACTATGGGTGAGGCAGCCAGGCAACCAGGAAAGCTAATTTGAAAACAAGGTGAAAGCGGGCTGTGGGGCTGGGCTCTCTGGAGCCTCCAAAAGTGTTTACAGCTCCTCTCTACCAAGGGAAAGTTTGAGAGAGGACTTTGTTGCCATGGAGACAGCCATAGAGATGACCACCTTTCCCATCCCCAGCTCCAACCTACTGGCCACGACTGACTAAAACACCTGCATAGGATAGGTGGGGAGATATCCAGAAGGCCAGTTATAGAAATAAGCATCAAGGGTTTGTTTTAATGTAGATATTTTAAATGCACACAAGCCCAGACCCGTCCTCAGCTGCATTAGTGGATTACTCATTCTTCCTTCTAATCACGTCATGTGCATGGTTCCAGGTGGCTGTGGGGTATTTGCTTCCAGCGGCTACCGCTGGTTTCCCTGAGAGCTGTTTATTTTTCCAGGGCTCAGGTCATTACATCACCCCATGATTCCTGGGCAAGCCAAGAGTGCTGGTTTGGAGGGTGGAGGATTGGCCAGGAGGCGCAGTTGCTTCAGTGACCCCAGACCCTGGCCATAGGAGCTATACTGGCAGGAGCTTCCCCAGTGAAGGAAGAGCAACCCAAAATGTGGCCAAGGGGCCCAAAGCAGACCTACAGGAGCAATGCTCTGGCACTGGCAGGTAAGGGCTTACCTGTGACATGGATGCCAAGTTAGGCAAACACTCGTGTATAAGGGGACAGAGGGTCATTTTCATGGCAAAACCTACAAGGAATGCATTTCCACCTGTTTCCCTGCTGATAGCTCCGTTTCCAGGGAGCAGAGTCACCCTGAGCTGCTGCATTCGGTGACGCACAGCAGGAAGGTAGCTGCACAGATGCAAGGGAAGAAAAACACAGCCCATTTGGTTTGAACCCGCACGCCAGGTTCTGGGGCCTTCCTGAAGGCCCAGATCAGATCCTAAAAGAAGTTAACTAGGAAAGATGGTGATAAAGGAAAGAAAAGAGATGGGGAAGGAGGCAGGGAAGTCAAACCACCCTGCTAGAGGCTCCAAGGGTTCACCCCGTGGGGCAGAGGGGAAGGGTCTGGGGGGCACTGTGAGACTGCACAAATAGGAGAGTAAAGGCTCACAGGACCATATGTCCTAAAAGATAGTATTTTGCCAAAAAAGCATGGAATTTTGTCATACAGAAAGAAAAAAGAAGGCTTTTATAAATCACAGCTGTAGGAAAGCATTTGCACATAGTAAAAATAGAAACAGTATGGAATGAAGAATGAGATGAGCCTAGTTTTTGTCATTTCTTCAAGCTCTTTACTCTCTTCTATAAAATGTAGATGGTTTTTAAAAATTATTTTTTATTCTAGTTATGCCTTGGTAGCTAGCCTCTGACACAAAAAAAATCACAGCACAAGTTCGTATTTTCTTACCAAAGCAGAACAGAGTCTCTAGCTAACACTCATGTGTGAGAAGATGCCTACTCTCAAGTTCAAGTTCTAGGGTGTGAGCTGACCAGGTGCAGTGTCTCCCCTAAATGCAAGAAGAACTGGTGCAGTGGAGGCTAGAATGAAGGAGAAGCCCCAGGGCAAACCTGTCAGCACTGCATCTGCCAAGTGCTCCAAAGACAGCTCCGACCAGGGGAACACATGACAAAAACCTTAAAAACAAGGATCAAAACCTCCATCCAGGAGGAGAGAAGGAGACAGGATAAGTCTGCAGGCGTATGTGTCATGTTATTGCAAAACTTCAGCTGCCCAGTGGAACCTTTCCAACATCAACAGTCCCCAGTCCAGAAAACAAACCTGGCGTCACAGGGTCTGAGTGTGAAAGAAGGATGTTTGGGGTGTAAGAGAAACCGGGATGGCTTTTGTGCCTTCGCAAGAGAGCTGACAAGGAGAGCTCTCGCCCAAAGGAGCTCCTCAGAGCCCTACTCCTAGCTCCCCAGAGATGTTGGGCTGGAACTCTCCTGACCCAGAATCTTTCAGCAAGCCCAGAGGCAGCTGCCCAGGCATGAGTTATCATCAAAGCGCATCTGACTTCTAATCAAGCCAAGTGAGATAACATGAAAAGTGGCTAGCACAAACCCATTAAGAGTAGGCACTGGCTTTTTTAAATCATTTATGGTGTACATGCTACATGCTAGGCAGTTTATATATATTGTTGAATCCCCAGGAAAATCCTGCAAGGCACTAATAACTTTGTTTCATATATAAGGAAATGACAGTTCAGGGAAGTTAATGAACTTTCTCAAGGTCACCCAGCCTCTTAGTGGGAAACTAGCATTGGACACCAGATCTGTGGGTCTGTCTGATACCAAAGCCCAGGCTGTTGCCATCACAAGGTCTCTCTCTTCTATATACAAGAGGTTCCCTAGCCCCCTGCCTGTGAAGTTCAAACCTCAGGATGACTCATGTGTGAGGGCATACACCAAACAGAATGTTGGAGCTTGCAAAGGCTCACATGAGATGGCATGGAGGTCCGGGAGCTGCCCAGAGTTCCTGTGCTCTTGCTGCTTCCCTGGGCATATTGGGAAGCATCTCAGGAGGCACGGCCCCTGCCTCTGCTTGGTCTATGAGAGGGGCCAGAAATACGTGAGAAAGATACCCCCATACACACATGCCCATCCAAATGCTCTTTCAATCCCATCTGCCAGGGACTACCAACTTTTCTGTAAAAGGCTGGATACTGAATACTTTAAACTTTGCAGGCCAGACAGTGTCTGTCACAACTATTCAACTCCACCGTCATGGCATGAAAACAGCCATGGACAATATGTAAATAAATGGGTGTGGCTGTGTTCCAATAAAACTGCATTGTCATAAATAGGCAGATGGCCATTTGCCAACCCCTTCTGTATGCCCTTGTAATGCCATGGCTTTTATTCATAATTACATCAAAAACTATTGACAGGTACTCAGTCAGTAGTACCACTTGACCATGATGGAGAAAGTCCTAATTTTACTAGAAAATTCCTAAGGTATCAATCTCTGATAATTATCACTTGCCTCAGTTTCTCCCAGGGAAACTTTAGCTCTCCCTGAACTCTCCTGTCCTATATACAAACCTTACAGACATAAACTTACAGACATAACTGGGGCCAGCCAGGGAAAAATGAAGGCAGCTGGGCCACTCCAACAAAAAGAAGGTGGTTGCACCTGCCTAGAAACCATTTCTCAATACATCCCCATATACTCATCCAATTGGAAACTCCATAAGGGGTGTAGGAATGATCATCACCAGCTAATGATGTCACCATGGTACTACACTCAGAACACAGCCTAAGGAGGCAGGCGCTCTGTTCCCAAAGACGGAGAGCATTCTGCAGCCCGGCCACTTCCTAGCTGTGACCAGGACAAGTTACTTCCCCTCTCTCTCAGCCTCCAATTCTTCCTCTGTAAAATGAGGATGGTAACACTACGTTATGGCGAAGTGCAAATGAGATGAACCTGGGAAGTTTTACAGGCCCTGACACGGGCTAGCCAGGAGCGCAGCGATGATTCTGATCGTACTGACAGTGATGATGCTGACCTTTGCTCCTCCATCCATCTCCAAGCAATCAGACACACTGAGCTAGATTTTAGGACAGATACAACAGGCAATAAAACCTTTGCCCCCACGCCCAGCCCAGAGTTTATAACTTAGTCAGAGAAATAAATCACTGGTAGATAGAAAAGAAGCAATTGTTAAATGTCAAGTGAATGTTCCAGGTGAAAGATGCTGGCATACAGTTAGACCAACTGGGAGCCAGTCGCAGCGCACTCATTTATTTAATGGCCATGTAAAACTCTGCCTACTAGTTCCAAGGGGTGTGTCTTTTGTGTATAGACCTCGCTATCTATAAGGAAAAAATGACAGAACTGAAATGAAATTCAACAACCTGGCATGAATTATGCCAAGTGGCATTTCTCACAGTGAAGTCTTAGGCTAAGAGAAGGATAGTACCTGCCAGGCAGAGATACAGGTTAGGTGTGTGTTAATGTATTTTCCTGTTGATGAGCATCTGGTCTTCAGTGATGGCAAATGAACTCTACAAATAACCCTACAAATCTGATTACCCTTCAAAAGTCATCACCTTCCACAAAGGTTTCAGACAAAACCTGAGACTCACAAAACCCTCAGAAGATGAGACCAGGAAAGACTGGACTATAAACTATTTGGAGCCTTTAAAAACACACAGAATAAAGTCTCTTGAGGCTTGAAATCCAACTTTGCTATGCCCAGCAATTCTTTTAACTTCTTCAGTACAGCATATGGAACGTCAATTAAAATATTAAAACATACAGTCAAAATGTTTTTAACATAAAGGATCAATTATGCATGAAAGATGATCCCTGAGGTAATAATTGAAGAAAATTAAATCTGGGAGGGATTAACTCATCTAATCCTTCATTTTACAACTCTGGAAATTGAAGGCCAGACAGGTGAAATGACTTACCCAAGCACACACAATAGGTAGGCCTGGAGCCACCACGGGGCGACCACGGACAGAGGACACACATAATCCAAGGCAAACCATTTACCTGAATTCCTGACATTGGTGTTGTTCAGTTTGGAGTCCTTGATTACCAAGTGCTTAATCCACAGTGTGGGAGCTGTAATTTCTGAGAAAAAAAGAAGAAAAAGGGAGAAAAAATAAAGTCTGGGCAAGAGAGTTTATATTTAAGTTGGAGTGCAACCCTTAGACTTTTTAACAGCTTTTTTAAAATGCCTGAGGCATCAAGGTTTGAACTATCTCCCTTGTTCCACATCCACGTTGTCCCAACGTCCTCTCCCTTCCTCACTACAGAAGCTGCTGTCCCCACCAGCTCAGAGGAATCAGCTAGGGCCTCCTGTGCTGGGAGACACAGTGGTCAGAGTCCAGAGGCACTGAGCTGCTCCATCCAGGAATAAAAATATTATCCCAGGAGGTGAGGAACAAGGCCAAGCCAAGTCTCTCAGCTGCTTCCCTGGAAGAAGATTTAAAGGGGATAAATCAACAAATGAATGCCAAACAAACCACAGAGACCATTTTGGAGGAAATGGTTGAGCCACAACAGATTGCAGCTTGCTGAGACTCTGCTCCACATGGGAAAGAAAAGAGCAGGTCTAATGTGTGCTTCAACACCTTTTTGAATGGTTTCTCAGTCGCCAGAGGCTGAATTACTCCCTCCAGGCAGCTCCAGGGTACCTCAGGCTCTTCAGGGCTTGGGGACCCGGGGGCAGGTGATGCGGGAATCCAAGATGACCCTGAACAGCCTGCGGAGTGACTTCAGTAGGGGTGCTGGAGTGGCATCCCAAGCTAACACGGTCTCCATTTCCTACCCAATCCCCTATGTCCCAGACTTGCCAATGATCCAGGATCTTTGTGGATCACAGAAATTTTTGAACTTGTAGGCACAAACACACACATGTTCTACTAAATGGCCAGTTGCAAAGGATAGCTCACATTTCAATCCCTCTATCTAGAGCTGAGCCTGTGCTAGGAACCTCCCTAGCCACAGTGCTAACCAATGGCATAATTTCTTTTTATTCATCTGTCTCACTACCCAGTCTCACGATCCAGGCCTGGATTCACTCAACTGAAAGGTGGCTGCACATTGCACAGAGAGCCAAACCTCACTGTCAGACTTTCCAGAAACCCCACTCTGCCCAGCTTCCTGTTCCTCTTCACGGGAACCTGGAGTACTTAGCAAAGACACTGAAGACTGTAGGCCCCGGACAGCTCAGACTCAAATTGAGGCCAGACTTCCTCACCCCAGGCTCCTCCTGTCCACTCTTCATCCCTCCAGGGACATCCAGCCTCTATTGTGCTACCAGTCACCACTATTTTTCATGACCTAAAATTTCTCCCCTTCCAAACATCTTGACTCAGCTCTCAAGGTCCAACTTAGCCAACCAGCTCCACTAACCAGTCTCTTTCCTGCCACTTCCCTCACTGTCACCTGACCCCACCAGATTTCCTCCTTCATCCATGCCAGGCCCCCTACCTGGAATACCCTGATTCCTCCCCTCTAGTTTTAAGATCCAGCCCAGGTCCCATCTTTTCCCAGACCACTGTGATCTCTTTCTTCCATAAATGTCTATTACCATAAAAACTGAGGCCATATAATTAACACACAAACACAATAGTGGTCACTCTCTTGAGAGCAAAGGCTTCATGTCATCTATTTCTCCTCTGCTCCCCAAAGGCCTAGCACAATGCTGCGCACAGGGCAAGAACATGTAAGTGCTGGTCCATTCACCGAAGGGCCACTGCCCGCCTGACTGGCTTTCTCAGCCCCGACTCCTTGGTCTGGGCAGCTTGAAGGGTCCGTCCAGGCTGTGTTATTGTTGGACATCAGCAGCCAGGCAGGAAGCCTGGCTAGAACAGAGAGCCCTTCCAAACTCTCCAGAAGTGGAGAGTGTACCAGTTCCTGGGAGGATTTGCATTTTTTAAAAGGTTAAAACAACCCAGCTTAAACTGGGAAAAACTGAAATTAGAAAAGAAAAATAATAATAACAAAGCTTAAATAAATATTTGAAGGAAAGACCTCCCAAATCTGAAAACGGATGGAGGATGCAAGTCGGAAGTAATACAAAAGCTTACCGTCTCCATCAAACACCGGCTGAGTCTCCATGGTGGGTGTTGGCTTGGACCCGTCATCTGAATTGAGGGTTAAAAAGAACCGAAAAGAGACTACCATTATTGAGGTAAATACTATCTACTCTCCGGCACTGTTGAATGCTTGGGGTTTACACATGGCCCGGCCAAATCCCATCCAAAAGGCCAAAGAGAAAGAAATGAAGGAAAGAACAAGAAGGAAGAGAGAACCACAGAGAGACACCAACCTTAAGACGAATCCAGGTTTGTGCTTGCCATACCAGGGGAGGAACTAAGGGAAACTGTCTTGGCTTTGGAGGACCCTCCCCATGGGTCTGCATGTACCAGTGGGACCCTGTCAGCCCTTCTTCCTCCCCACGGGAAAACTGCGAGGCCAGCTTCCCCGGCAGCTGAGTTGTAGCCAGGCAGGTTGGATAAGGTCCACACACCTTGCGGCATCCAATTCTGTGTGTCCCAGTTCCCTCCTGCCCTCTTGTGAAAGGTACCAGCCTACTGCTTTTCTAGTGGCCCTCACTGAAGAGCAAAGGGAAACAAGAGACCATGGTGCTATCACCTCCCAAACTCCCAGCTATTTCTCCATTTTCATCCAAAAAGAAGAGAAGGCAAAAAGGACCATCCTCTCCCCAGCACATGAAATTGAAGGGAATCGGGAATCCTTAGGACACTTTAAACTAGGAAACAGCACAAACTCCACTCCCAGTGAGAGGTGGGGGGCAAGCAAAATGGGAGGGCACATGGAAAATTGCAACCTGGGTTTGCTTTGAAATGTCTAACCTAGATGTGGAAGCATGGAGTTCCCAGCAACAAAGCCATAATGCTTATCATTCTAGTAGCGCTGGCAGCTCTCTGCAGAGTAAGAGCCCCTGCAGGTCAGGAGTGACGGCAGACTTTGTCTGCCTCTCAAGACTCTGCATTACTTTCATCAGAATCCTAAAACCTTAGCTTAGAGCAGTGTTTCTCAACTTTTTTTTCCCATTATTGTCCATCTAAGGAGCATTTTTAGACTTTTTCGCCTTCCTAATGACATTTTAATAACACAGATACACTGGATATCTGTTGATACCTATGCTTTCTATGTTTAAAAAAAAAAGCAGGAGTTAATTTTGCTCCCCCAACCCCAAAAACTAATTTTTGCCTCCTTAGTGAAAGCTGGGAGCAGATGTCCTTGCCCCCACTGAGAAGGCATAGTTTAGAGATTTCTCTGTTTTCTCCCTCAGTCAGGGAGGGAAGGAGAACACTTGGTCTCAGACAGTTTGATAATGACACCATCCCTCTCTATCCAAGACCCCCAGAGGTCTTTTAGCACTGAACGCTATATTCCCTGGGCATAACTACTTTTTTTTGTCATTTTAATCATCATTTATTTGTTTGTTTATTTTATAAATTGTCCTTATTTTTTTACTTTTAGTTATTGAAATTTATTTACTTATGGAATTATTGACATACTTGTATTAGTTCCAGGTGTACAATATGGTGATTCAATATTTACATACATTATGAAATGGTCACCACAATTAGTCTAGTCATCACATGTGGTTGTTACAATGTTATTGACTGTATTTCTTATGCTGCACTTATATCCCTGTGTCTTTGTTTATCTTATAACTAGAAGATTGTACATCTTAATGCCCTTTACCTATTTCATTAAATATTTATGGAGAACATAAGTTCTCAGAGTCTCTGTGTCACTGGTCAGATCAATAAAAACAACCCTTGACAATCTGGAGCTCCCAGAACCTTTGGCCAACTTCCCTACATCCTAGCAGGGGGAGGGGAAAGAACACAAAGTCCTTATTCCTTTCTTGCACCAGCACCCCACCCTTTGGATCTTAAGATTGGAGAGCTATAGAGACTTATAACTCTGGCTGGAGCTGAGGCCAGCAACCCGACAGCTGTGTGACACTGAACCCTGCTATTATTCTCATGTGCTGACACCGAGAGCCAACTCCCACCGGGGCCGAAGTGATCCTGAACTACCTGCCCATCATCCTAAGGAATGAGATACAGCAGGAGGAGAGGAGTAGCCGTGCTGGATATTGATTTGCCTCAAATTGGAGTCCAGAACAGGCATCTTTTGATGCAAAACCATCTAGGTTTGATCTGGAAGTCACTGAGGGAGAATAAACATAGAGTAGAACCACACAATGTCTTTTTAAAAATAGCATCACTTCCCCTGACTGTATTAACACCTCTTTCCATTGAACTCAATGAGCCACTGAATGAAGTCTTTTGGCAGTAGCTATGCACATTTGGTTGCTTCTGCCGGATGCAGAGTTCATAGTCTAAACTGCCCAGCACAGTGTGACTTCATTTTAGGAGTCTGAAGGGTAACAAGGGGAAAGTGAGAAGTCAGACATCCCAGAGGGACAACAACAGGAACCAAGTGAAAAATGGCTTATGCAATATTTTAATATTCAATTAAAATCTTCCCATACTCTAAGAGCTGTATTTCTCTCTGCAGCACAATAACAGAAAACATTCTATTTATTTCTCCCATCAACCAGATGAGAGTCTGGGACTGCCCATCAGGTCCAGTGATCACCAAAGAAGGCCTGCTGCTCAAGGAAAGCAAGCAGGGTTCCAAGTTCCCTGGAGAACCTTTGCACCTCTGCAGGTGAAGGACCTTCACAATTACCCAGATGCAGGGCCCAAAGCCCACATAGCATGAAGCCATGTGCAGGGAGTGAATCTTCCTGCAGGCAGGGTCACTGAGGGTGAAGAGATACAGCTGCACTGTCACAATGGAGGCCCTAGATGGAAATCTTTATGAAGTGAGAAAATACAAGGTGCCCTGCTGCCAGGAGAGCCACCTGTGGAATCCAGCATGTCCAAACGATGGGAACCCAAGCCAAAGCCAACAGGACCCTCTGGTCATCATCTCCAGGCACCTGGCTCCCAACCCAGCAAACAAGTGCACCCTTCTCCCAAACACAGGTCCAAGGCTCAGGTCCAACATCCACATCAGCCCTTGGGGCAACACCAGGCCCCACACTGGGCCCTGGGGAGAGAGAAAAGCTTCCACTTGTTCCCCTGGCCTCCCAGTCTCCAGTTAAGTTACATTCCAGATCCAAGCTTTATATCTAGTAAGTTGGCTAAGGTTAACCCCTCACTTTTCTTCTCTGGGCAGTATATCCCCTTCTAAAGATGAAGAATGCCTGTCTCCCCAGCCTCAGGACATTGTGTAGGAATAAAAGACTTGAAAAGCTTCTTTAAGGAGATATAATACCTTGAGTGCTAATCATCTTACCCAACTGCTTACCTTTAAAACTGGCTTTGCAAAATTAAAATCCTAACCAAGTTTTTAAATAAAAAGTAAAGTAAACCTTACAACTCAGTAAGGACACAGATAACGTAATTTTAAAATGGGAAAAATATTTTAATTGACATTTCACCAAAGAAGGTGCATGGACAGCTAATAAGTATGTGAAAAGATGCTCAACATCATTAGTTGTTAGGAAAATGCAAACTAAAATGACCACATGCCTACTAGAATGGCCAAAATTTTTCAAATAGAAAATACCAAGTGTTAGCAAGGATGTGAAGAAACTGAAACCCTTGTTCATTGCTGATGGGAGTGTAAAATTGGATAGCCATGTTGGAAATGAGTTTGGCAATTTCTCTTAAAAGTTCAACATAAATTTACCATTCAACCCAGAAATTCCACTTCTGGGAATCCATCTATCTGTATATATATATAAAACATGTCCTCCCAAAGATATGTATACAAATATTCATAGAATCATTTTTCTTAATAGCTTCAGACTGGAAATAATCCAAATGTTTGTCAATTGGTGAACAGATAAATAAATTGTGATATATCTGTATAATGGAATATTATTCAGCAATTAACAGGAATGAATTACTAATACATGTAACAATATAGATGAACCTCAAAAGCATTATACTAAATAAAGCAGGTACAAATATTATATATTATATGGTTCCACTTAGATGAAACCTAGTAACAGTAAATCTAGAGAGCCAGAGTGGATCTGTGGCTGCCTAGGGCTGGAGGAGGGAGTGGGGTATAACTATAAATGGGTTTCTTTTGGGCGTGATGGAAATAGTCTCTGGTAATGGCTGTACAACTCTCTAAATGTCCTAAATGCATGGAATTGTACATTTATAATGGGTACATTTTATGGTATATAATTATACTTTGGTAAAGCTGGTAAAATAAAAGGGAGGTAGTGCTCAAGTCACCACAGATCAGTAATCAGGCAGCAGCAGCTAGATTATTTGAGTGATCCTTAATTTGGGGGAGACTCTTCCATAAATCTTAGAGAAAAACATATCTGAACCTCAGTTTATATTTATGCACATGATAATTTGAGGCCTGCTGCCTACTCTTGCTGACTCTTCTGGACCTCAAATAGTAAGATTTAATTTCTCTTTAATATCATAATCTCTTCCAGACCAAAGAGAAGATGATAGCAGACTGAAAAAAGCCAATCCAAAGATTAACATTTTTCTTACAGGGAGAAAAATGTAAGTTTGGAAACCTTAAAAAAAATAAGGCAAACTTGAGAGAATTTCTAGAGGATGATGTCAAGATCAACAATAATAATAGCACTACCACATTTTGCAACACTCAGTGTTTCTGGCAGGTGGCTTTCCTCATCTACTCTCACTACCGGACAGGCAGAGGAAGTCACCAGGCAGATAAAAAGAGATGGAGCCTCAGGACAAGAAAGGCCCCAGGGGCAGTGAGCAGCTCTGGAAAGTGCCCAGACTCAGAGCCATAGCTCTCAGCCTTCCAAGATTCCCCAGCCCCCAACCAGGCCTCCTCCGTGCAGGTGCAGCCCCAGAAAGTCTCAGCCCCCACACAGGCTCTGTGAGCCTCTACAGACAGTGGGTTTGTGTGACAGCACAATTCCTTGCCCTGCGAGAAGGCCTGGCCCACGCACAGACAGCTGGAAGTCACTTCGACCCCCGATGACACCGTTCAAAGCTTCCTCTGTTTGGCTTTTTGATTCCTGATTGACATTTGCTGGTGAGTGGAGATAAATGCTGGGCTGAGGACAATGTTGATGCCCTCTGACTATTCTCAGGGAAAGACTTTTCAGAATAACAAA